GCCTGACGCGGGGCTCGAACTCACGGACCGCGAGATCGTGACCTGGCTGAAGTCGGACGCTTAACCGACTGCGCCACCCAGGCGCCCCAGCAAAGTATTTTAAAAGGCCAAACAGAGCCAAACATCGAGGGCCGTGGAAGCCTCCCCTTGCCCCCGTGGGCCAGCAGCTAACATTTTGGAAAACGTTTTTGGTGGTCTTAATAGCCCCAGATTACCTTCATTTAAGTGGAAATGATTGCAGCCAACACTTCTAAACTAGAAATTGGGTAGGAGGTAATCGTTAACCTTAACCAGTGAGCCTAGGAAACACCCCCGGAAGAGTAGGCCTGTGCCCGCCATTAAGGGGGCCGTATCTGCCGGCTCGCTCCTCAAACCGAGCGGTCACCTATTCCGAAGTCAAAGTCTATGAAGCCGGCCACCACTGAAATCCAGCCCCTGGAGCATTACTCAACAGGAAAGGGTGAGTTATAGAACGCAACAACGACTTCCTCCACAGCTCCCGCTCAGAACCTATTGCTTTTGGGAAAACCGATTAGTTTAGATCCTGCCTGTGAGAGAAAAGGCTCTTACATCAAGGACAGACACCAGACTGGCAAATCCTTGAAGAGGGTCTAGCAGCACTGCAGCCCCAGGCATGGGCTGGGACAGTCACTGCCAACCTTTTTTAAACCCAGGAAAGGTACTTGAGGCCAAGTGTACCAGAGGGAACTCCACAAAACTGTCTACCTCTCAACTCCCGAATTTTATAACCATACCACTTTCTCGTTTCCAACCCATCCGTGAGAATATGACTGCTGTGGGAGATCCAAGCTTTTCTTGAAAAACCTCCAGGCTAAATATCAACCTGAAGGGACACTGGTCTGAGAAGTCCAACTAAATGATACTCCAAATTGGTCTTTCCCCAGGGCTCTTAAATTTCCCGGCTTTTTGAGGGGCAGTCTGTTCTACAAGTAGACAGACAGTGAGGACACAATCCTGTCTACAAGATTTTAGACAAGATTTTGTACCGCATACTGGTTGTCATTTTGAAAGCAGAGCTAAAAAGCTTTGGAATCATTCTGTAGAAACTTCGTATTTATCAGTGCACCTCCACGCTAGATTAATACTACCACCCTGCTTCCTCTTTTGCCTTTTACCAAATTAGATTAATACAATCAATGCTATTGATTCTAAGGTATGGAGTTTAGCAAAGAACTAGTATTCTGGTGAGTGATGGGAGTTACCTGGGACTGAAAATGAGGGTTTTTTGGTGTGTGTTTGTTTTTACTATTGTAAGCAAGGTCAAAGCTGGCCCTGGAGGATGACAGATCCTAAAGCTGTTTGTGTAGGAATAAAACAAAAGCTAGCTTAATCAAGAACGTTCACCATTGCTTCAGTATCAAGACTTACCCAACAGAAATGATACAGGTCTTAAAAATAACTATGGGTTGGCTATGTATCCATTTATCATCTTGCTGGATAAAATACATAACTTTTTTGCTATGAAGTAACATCAAAAGGTACCAGTTTGTCACGTAAGGTATAAATGACATTTATAATATTTCAGGTTGCAGCAGTAAAATCAGCATTGATTAACTTGAGAAAATGCACAAAACTCTCATAGACATCTTACAGACTTGAAACTTTAAGGAAAACAATTATTGATTACATAATATACAGGCTCAGTCCTGCAATATATTTCTCTCATTGATTTCCATAGTAACATTTTAAGCATGAATTTGCAGGGCACTCTAGAATGTGTATGTGTTCCCAGGTTATGATCTGATGAGCTTCTAAGGGAAATTATGGTACAGCAGAAGAGCGGGAGATACAGACTTGAAGCCCTTTGCTTAAATCCTGGCTTAGCGGCCTCTGAGCTTTATGTTAGGCGAGCACAGCTTCTCTGAGGATGGATTCTTCTGAAGTCAGAGCAAGAAAACCAGGCTGAAGGAATGAATGGAGTAATCTGGTATCTATAAATCTTCCTCAGGCTTAAACGGCACCCAGCAATCCATAATCAGAACCAAGTCCCCAATGGAGGTTCAAAGATATTTTGAAGAAAAGTTCCCGCAACGAATTAAAACTAAATTTAGACCCAGGATTGCCCTCTGATGGTCATCTCTTAGAAATGAAATCCCTTTGAAAACCAATGAATTTGCAAGTTTTTTCTATCAGAACTTCCCCAAAAGGCTTATCCTTGTTCTGATCGCTAGCATGTACACTAGATTTTTCTCCACAGAAGATCGTCTTCAAATATATTCATTTAAATAAAGTTGTAGGTAAATTAATGTAGACTTTGAAGCTACTTCTAGAACTAGGGGTGCCTGGCTGGCTCAGGTGATGGAGCACGTTGATCTCAGGGTTGAGATCTCAGGGTTGATCTCAGGGTTGAGAGTTCAAGCCCCACACTGGGCCTAGAGCTTACTTAAAAAATAAATTAGGGGTGCCTGGGTGGCTCAGTCGGTTGTGTGTCCGACTTCGGTTCAGGTCAGTATCTCATGGTTTGTGAGTTTGAGCCCTGTGTCAGGCTCTGTGCTGACAGCTCAGCGCCTGAAGCCTGCTTCAGATTCTATGTGTGTGTCTCTCTCTCTCTGCCTCTCTCCTGCTTGTGCTCTGTCTCTCAAAAATGAATAAATGTTGGGGTGCCTGGGTGGCTCAGTCGGTTAAGCGTCCGACTTCGGCTCAGGTCATGATCTCACGGTCCGTGAGTTCGAGTCCCGCATCGGGCTCTGTGCTGACAGCTTGGAGCCTGGAGCCTGTTTCAGATTCTGTGTCTCCCTCTCTCTTTGACCCTCCCCCGTTCATGCTCTGTCTCTCTCTGTCTCAAAAATAAATAAACGTTAAAAAAAATTAAAAAAAAAATAAATTAAAAAAACTATTTTTAAATAAATTAAGTTTTTTTTTTTTAAATAAAACTACTTCCGTAACTAGATTAAGCAGTCTGAAAGTTTTTAAAATGACATTTTCCTTGGAATGTCTCTCATTGTCCCCAACGCTGAAAATCAAAAAGGAAAATAAAGCCTCTTGTATCTTAATCAAAGATATAGAGATACCTTGTCTTCCAGGAGTCATGGCGAAGGTTTAAGGGCTGGTTCTTAACCTAAAGGATAATATCACCATAGGCCATTCCTGCTTTGCTGGTATTCATCAATTTCTTCATTCTTGGGGTGATTTGTTGAAAAACAAGAAGTCTCCCAAATCAAAAGTTAACATTTTATCCCAAATCTATACCCCATCTTCTATCAAAACATGAATTCACAATGGATGGGCTTACAATCCCAACTAAAAAAACCTCACAAAAAATGTACCCTGGAGCCACATTGGGTCTGGCACACATCTGTCACTAATTTTAGAAATCTGAATTTTTATGGGTGAAATAAATGCTAGCACCTCCTTTTCATTTTCTGTAAGCTTTAGTCTCATTATCTACAAAATGAAAATAACATCTACTTGGTTGGGATGTTGGGAAAGCCAAATTAGTACACAAAAAGCACTTAGCATAATTTTTGATAACAGAAGGCATTAAAAAAGAGAGATGTTATCAATTACCTCCCCAGTCAAAACATGCCAATTATTGAAGGAAGCATTTTATCTCCACTCACGGGAATGAAGAGTAATTTTTACCATGGTTTCTGAGACATCACTTCAAAAATTGTTTCATCGTGTTCACCACAGGCATTAGAGTCCTTGCTGGTGGTGTTTTTATTGGTGAAATGGGTCTTGCTATGACAAAACGTTGAGAATAGTCTAGTGAGGAGAATGATAAGCAACAAAGGAACCGTCTCCTCTTCTAAGTTCTGGGTATTTCACAACAAACATGGTGCCTACAGACTAAAGCGAGGGAAGTTAAAACTCAAAGGACTAGAAACATAGTGGATTGTTAGGTCTATTACACCCTCTAGTGGCCAAAAAGAAGATTGTTCTTTTAAAAATCTTGGTTTGGTCAAGATAGCAACTGGATGCGTATGTATCACCTTTGAGTTTAAAAAATAACCAGCTTGCCTTTATGTGCTTTTTACCTTTGCATTTACTCCATGCTGAACGAAAATACTAAGCACTAGAGGACAAGGCACAGGCAGCACACCTCTCATCCTAAATCAATTCTCAAATGTAACTAGAGTTAATCGTCTTTGTTGCTTTATGGAAGGGAATTTTGAAATGTGTACCTTTCTAAAGCAGCAATTTTTCACCACAGGGTTATTTACAAGCCAAGGTAATAATTAAATATGCCCAAGACTATGAATCTATTCTTCTCTGCCCAAACCCTTCATTTTTATAATGGGTAATTATAGTAAAAACTTCAATTAACCAGAACCCTCAATTAACATGATTTCCCTTCTTGCACTCTATTTTTAGAACAAAGTGGAAAAAAAATCACAAGAAGTCGTTCATGTGAAGGACTGGGTTTGAAAATCTTCTAGGATGAATTATATACTAAGTAGGAAAAAACCCACATTCACACTGTGATAACCAATATATAGGAGACCCATCTATCTATAGATCATCAAGAGCTGGAAGGGAATAGCTTTATTTTATTTTGAATGTTAATGTGCTGGAATTATAACCTATTTTCTGTTTTTTTTTTTTTTTTTTTTTTTTTACTGTCACATTGTTGCATAAATAAAAGGCAAAGAGAAGGGTAATGTATAAACTCAGCATATGTTCTGCAACATTTTCTATTCTATGTCCACAAATCTGAACAGGAGAACTGAGACAGAATCAGACCTAAGTCCTTCAAAGGTCTTTAAATCCCAGAGACACAGTTAAGGTCACCTTACACTATTGAGACAAAATATAGGTCATTGGGGAACATTTCTTCTACCATGAGAGCTGACATAAGAAGCATTTTTAGATAGTGAATTTTAAACTAATTTGAAAATAAATTTACCAGGACATCACTTATTCAGAAGCAACAGTCCTACTCAAAATCTCACCATAGTAAAAAAAAAAATTCCACATTCCACAAAGGAATTCAGGCTAAGCAACCACCCCTGAATTGAAAGGTCATGATGCCAAATCCATCTATTTAAAATACTGTTTATTTGTGATTTAACATTAATTAGCATTACATCTAAGAGCAATATCAGATAACATTTATACATTTTCCACAGGACACAGAGGTTCAATGGCTCATTCTTTATGCCAAAGCAAGTAAATAGAGGCATTAGCAAAAGGTGCAAATAGTTCACTGTTGCGTTTAAAAAATATTTATGCACATTGCATTCATTTAAGATATATATATATTTAAAAAGTTATGGAAAAGCATAGTTCACAGGTTACTGTTTCTACATACGTTGTAATACAACATAAATGATGTAGAACATAAAAAAAAAAAATCCTCAAATACAGAAGTAAGCAACTGAAAGTTTCTGCTAAGAGATTAAAACACCGATTCCAGTAGTTAGTGAGATCCAGAATGAAATTTCCAGGCTCCGTTTCAGCTTTGCATCATCGTACACATACGGCCAAACAGAACCAGCTGCTCCAGAACGCACTGTCATGTGTAATGTGATTTTGACACGCCAACTCATCCTCCAGAAACACTTTGGATTATTTTCACCCACTGACCATTTCGGATCATCGATTTTACATTGATTTGTGACATCACTTCGGTGAAGGGGAGAAAACTATATTAAGTCTAGGTTTAAATTTGTATTTACATTAGAAAGAAAGTTAACTGAAATAAGGGGAGAAATTTTTGTAAAAATCAAGAAGTGGTAGGTTTTCTCGTTGGGGGATCAGACCCACTGATTTCTTCTAGTGCTGCTTCTAAAGATACAGAAGTTAAAAGGAAACCAAGAAACACGATGATTTTGGCAGAGAAGCAGAATTTTAGAAATCTGGGACATGTTCCAAATAAACCTATGCTTCAAATCCTATCGTGACTGTGGGTCTTCATCAAACTAGAATTCTTGGCATGACACCGCTTTTGTTCCCTTCATTTTTCACTTTCTCTCTTCCTTTTCATTTGTTTCCCTCATGAGACCATCTTCATTCATTAGCAATACTAAGAGAAAAATACATTATAAGGTTCAAATGTGAATCTAGTTATACCTTGAAATGCTTTAATCTCCTTTAGATACCAAGTGCCTGGATTCTTGAATTAGATTTAAGCATACTTAGTACGAAGCAGCTTCAAATATGCTCTACTGTTATATGATTGGCTAATATGCTTATGATGCTTTTATATTGAATGGTATACAAACATCTCAACATACAAAAATCGTTTTTGCCAGAGTTAAACTAAATAACCCATGTACGTGTACAAAATCCCCTTTGTTGAAAAATAAGGGGCTTTCTCAACTAATAAAAAAGGAAGTTTTCAAAAATTATAGTTTACTAAAATGATTTTTTTTTTTTGGCAAAGAAAGTTACTTCAGGTGAGGAAGTTTTATACTATGAATAAAATTCCAGATGAATCTTTTCTTAAATTTTTTTTTAAAAAAATTCTGTGCCAGTGTATACTAATGCTATAGATTCTTAGAAGCTTTTAAAGCGTTCTGTTAATGCCCACTGAAACAATGGGAACCCAAAAGGTACAGTCAATAATCGCGGTAAAAAATTATAATCTGATTACCCAGTGAAGCAGGTGTTGAGAAATAAAAATTCTCTCGCTTGTGCACTGGTATTTCGTTTCCAACAGATATTATGGAGAAGGCCTGAAGTAATTCAGACAGATATCTGTTTGTGGTGAATTATAGTAATACTTCATGAGGGCAGAGCTAACTAAAACTAGCAATTATTCAAAAATTCAAAACCTTTTTTGGAGATACAAAATGAGAGATGAATTTGAAGTTCTTTTCATAATATGTTTTTCTTTTAGTAAAATCCCTTTCCAGTTCTTAAAGTCCAGTTTGCTACATACCCCCAGTCTTCTCTACCACTGCATATTAATTATCAACTTAAGTGTGGTATTTAAATGTGCAATGTCACATTGTAATAATAATAATTATAAAAAGAGTTAAGTTAGGCTTCAACTTTCTCCTTTTTTTTGTTCTTTTTCAGAAAAGAAGGAGTACGGAATTTCTTCTTTTTCTTGGATGGCGATTTTGAAGGGGAGCCGTCAGGTGACAGGACTTCTTCAATTTTTTCTGGAGACTTAATGGTAATCTCGATGTTCTCTATGGTCGTGCTTGTGGTTAATCTACTCACTCGCTTCGCAAGCTCATCTTCAACATCATGCGTATCATCCTTGCCATTCACCACCATGACGGGCACCTCCATGGAGATGAAGCTCTTGGAAAATAGCTCATGGTTTTCTACAAAAGGGGAGGGTTGGGTTGTTGTTGTTTTTTTTGGTTATTTTACATAGTTAACATCTTGGCTTTATTTTACAAAACTGAACTGATTTATGTAGCAACGTACTAAGGCATTACTTAAGTTTCAGTAAAGACAAATCATTACCTTAACATACTATGGATCTATTAGCATGAAGCTAGATTTTTCTTAAATAATATAAAGGGGAAGAGGTCAAAGTTGTTAGACCAAAGCATGAAGGCTAGATAAGTCTGGTTTGATGATCTGACAGTTGCATTGTAAATCAAGTCAGTATAAACAAGGAAGACAACATGTATTTTTCTTGAATTTGGCAATCAAAACTGGAAAGATTTCATGCTCCTGATTGGAAGATGTAGGACAAACCACTTTTAATTTCACAAATTCTTAAGAACTACCAGTTGCCAAAATCCAGATTAAGGTAAGTCAACATAAACACTGAACAACACCAGCACACCACTTGGTGAAAAAATATATAAAATTATTGGGAGCTTTAGGTAAAATCCATGGCAAACTCATTGCAATCGGGTGTTCAATTTCCTTACGTGAAGACAAACGACAGAGGACAAACTCTTAAGACTAACTCAGTGAACGCTATGGGAAGTTACAGTGAATACCTTCTAATTTTTCAGGGATATTTTGCGGTGACTGAGTTTGAGACTGAATTTGTGAAACAGATGAAGCGTCATCTGAGAGTAATTCCTGCTCAGCATCTGTTGGACGAGAGTTTAGTTAAAAGCCATGCAAAACAAAGAAGCATAAGGTTTCGGGAAGGTTAGTGCATACGTCAAACGCCTGCAGACACATGATAAACTCTTCAGCAGTGAGCTAAGTATACTAACGGCTACCCCACGGATCGATAACTGCGCATTAAGAGGAGGTGAATGTGCGAACACTTCTGACTCTGCTAACAGTAACTTTATATACGTGCTTAGTAAGGAAGCATGGCTACAGGCAGCCCAGGCAAATAATACGTAAGCATTTAGCTTTTGCTAGAGTGTTAGAAAACCAAAATATATTGAGCAGCCGGGTGAAAAGAATTAGGACACCTCACCAATGATGCTGCGTTCATGAGGCAGAATGCCTCCAAATTTTCAAACAATATCCAATTAGTGATTTCTGTCAGAGCAGTATTAGTGAGCTAATTCAGAAAGCCATAATGAATGTGGAAGAAACTATTTATAAAAAAAAAAAAAAAATAGAAGCTGATGGTTCTAGAGTGCAATATTTGTTACCTGGCATCTTTAGGCTTTCAAAAAATAACAGATTAAAGAGGGACATTTTACAAAATAGAAAAATAGAGAAAGTCTCTAACCTTAGGTTAGAATAAACAAATCCAATAATATCACTTAGAATATTTAATGTCGTCAGGATGACTCCCTTTTGTGACACAGGCACTAACACACTGATAAAAACTGTTCCCGGGATGATCCAGATGTCAATTCTTTCCACATGATAGCTAATGTGGACAAACATTTTTAACCATTGGTTCTGTTCTGCTTTGGGAAAAAATTTCCACTGTATGTTGTAGATGCTCTAAAGCAGAGGCTCTTGCCCTCTTGTGGGGTCACAGATTTCTTGTCCCTTACCCTGAATGCCCTCTTTCCCCAAATGTATATCATACAAAATTAAGCACTCATTTTTCAGATGGTTCATGAACTGTTTGGAGCTTATCCAAAGATGCAAAATCAAGAACCCCTGCTATAGGGGCGCCTGGGTGGTGCAGTTGGTTAAGCGTCCAACTTCAGCCAGGTCACGATCTCGCGGTCTGAGTTCGAGCCCCGTGTCGGGCTCTGGGCTGATGGCTCAGAGCCTGGAGCCTGTTTCTGATTCTGTGTCTCCCTCTCTCTCTGCCCCTCCCCCGTTCATGCTCTGTCTCTCTCTGTCCCAAAAATAAATAAACGTTGAAAAAAAAAAATTTAAAAAAGGGGCGCCTGGGTGGCGCAGTCGGTTAAGCAGCCGACTTCAGTCAGGTCACGATCTCGCGGTCCGTGAGTTCGAGCCCCGCGTCGGGCTTTGGGCTGATGGCTCAGAGCCTGGAGCCTGTTTCCGGTTCTGTGTCTCCCTCTCTCTCTGCCCCTCCCCTGTTCATGCTCTGTCTCTCTCTGTCCCAAAAAAATAAATAAACGTTAAAAAAAAAATTTTTAAAAAAATAAAAAATAAAAAAAGAACCCCTGCTATAAAGAATTTCTTATTCTTGAGAAAAAGGGAGTTAGTATTTAATTAGCTGGGGTTTCATTAACAATTTTTCAACGGAATCCTTACTTAGGGTTCTGAAGTCAGAAAAACTCAACCTCACTAGAGGGCCCATGTACTTAATTAAAGAAAGTCACATCAAAATTCTGGCAGTTTTCTTTATATTTTGATTTCAAGATTATATATTGGCACCTTGTGGCACCCAAAAAGTATAAAAGTCACATAATATACATACTCTGTCATGTTTAAATCTATTACTGTATCTGTATTTATTTTAGTAAAGTAATACTTTACTTATCTGTGGATTTCATTTTACTATGGAAGACTTTTTGCTAGTGATCAGATTGCTTTCTGAGAAAAACTTTTCTCTACATGTTGACATACGTGAACTACAGTGGCTCTTCGCATTTTAGCTCCACCTACACTCAGTAAGGTCTGGGAGAGATGACAGGGAACAATCAATTGTCAAAGGAACATTTTAAAAAAACAACAACACTGACTGCCTTCTATCATCCAACTCAAGGTGTTCTGCTGTTGGTAGCATGGTTATCAGGCTTAATCTAAAAATGAACGAACCTTCCAGGCCTTGCTGTTTACGCTCGATTGTCTTCTTATACTCTTCAAGCTCGCCTTCTGTGAGATGACTGAAGGGGTTGGGAGGAGCTGGTGGGGCCTGATCGTCATCTTCAAATTGCATGGTCTTGCAAAGAAAAACATCGACAGATCGGAAGCTTATTCTTCAGAACTGGTTAAGAGGGCACAAAACAGAGCTGAGGGCTCCCAGGATGATAGTGGGAGACAGGCTGGAGACTGAAGAATTCTCCAGATAAATTAAACGGCCTCAGATAAAAGAACTACAGATATTGACATCTGGGGACTCCGCAGAGAGACGACCCATCAGCCTACAGTGAAGCTCACCGATTGCCAAGCTCTGCCCACACCCGGAGCATCGGACTGGCTTTTCAGTGTCCCATTCTTAAATATAAACAGACTACCAGGCATTACCGGGTATTACCTGAGGAAAGCTTCCGCCATGGAAGTGAGAGACCAGAACAAGAGAGAACTCAGAAGAAACAAGGACAATAAAAGCAGCTGAAGAAACTTTAAAATCGATTCCCTCAGAGCAATAAGAGAAAATACTGTATCCATGAAAGACTAGGATGTTATTTAAAAAACAAACATTCAGGGAATAAGGAGTCTTAAACAATTTTTAAAAATATATCAAAATAGAAAATTAAATAGAAGCATTAGAAAATAAAGTCAAACAAATCTCCCAGAAAGTAGGATAAAAAGACAAAGAAATGGAAAGTGAGAAACAGCATACCCTGACAGAAAAAGAAATTGGGAGGGAAAAAAATTATTGAAGAAATACATTTAAAAAATGCCCAGAGGGGCATGTGGGTGGCTCAGTCGGTTAAGCATCCGACTCTTGGTTTCAGCTCAGGTCATGATCTCATGGTCTGTGAGTTCAAGCCCCAGTCGGGGCTGACAGTGAGAAGCTTGCTTGGGATTCTCTCTCTGCCCCTCCCCTGCTCCCTCTGTCTCTCTAAAATAAATGAATGAATGAATGAGTGAACGAATGAATAAATTAAAAAAAAAAAATGCCCAGAACTGAAGAATAGGACTTGGCAGATTGCAAAGGGTTACTAAATGCAGAGAAATACAAAGAAAGGCTAAAAGAAACCTACTACAGGGGCTCCTGGGTGGCTCAGTCGGTTAAGTGCCTGACTTCAGTCCAAGTCATGATCTCACGGTTCGTGAGTTCGAGCCCTGTGCTGCAGAGCCTGGAGCCTGCTTCAGATTTTGTGTCTCCCTCTATCTCTGCCCCTCTCCTGCTTACACTCTGTCTCTCTCTCTCTCTCTCAAAAAATAAATAAAAAATTTAAAAAATTAAAAAAAAAAGAAACCTACTACAAAGCACAGCATTATAAAATTTCAGAACAGCAGGAATGCAGAAAAGGTGTAAAAGAATAAAAAAGAGCCCTATACAAAGTTACATGAATCACAGTGCTCTCTTCCTTCTCATCAGTAACAGGGGACAACAGAGTGATGTTTTCCATATCTGTGAGGTAAATGATTTCTAAACTAGAATTCTATGTCTATTATTTAAACATTTCAAGGTAGAATACAGGATTTCAGGCAGTTACCTCCTATGTGTCCTTTCTCAGAAAGCTATTAGAGGATATGCTCAATGATAGAGGGGGAAATCAAGAAACTGGAAGACTCAAGGCAGGAAACAGGAGACAGTACAGAGGCAAGAGGCAGAGGAATCCCCAGGATGAGCCTGTGCAACTGGCCTGAAAGTCACCAGTCCAGATCTGGGCTGGAATGACAGAGCAATGAGAGATTAGCTGTTACCCTTGAATCTTTGTAAAGTAATATTAAGAAGGACTTTATAGTTCTTCCCAAACTTTTAAGCCAATGTACCCAAAACACTAAGCCAATGAAAAACGGAGGCAATTATTAACTCTAGGGGGAGAAAAGTTGTATAAGAAAGGAAATGTAATCATGGGATACTACCTGGCTGAGCAGTAAACATTTAATAATATAAACACCGAAAGCTGATTTAACAAAGAAATTGTAATACAATCTTTCCCCAACATTTTCTCATCTCTGAAATCTGAACTCATCCAATAATTGATGGCTTCCTACAATTATAATGGTCAGGGTTTTTTCTCTTTTAGGGATCTACAAAATAATGGTACTTCTTGGAGTTGATGACATAGACTCAAAGTCAGTTGAGGTCTAAAATTGATAGGCGAAGAAAAAGCAGAACAAAGAAGCTCTTTAGAAACATGAAGGTAAATGCTAGAAGAAAGTCCTTGCCCCTGGAAATTGGGAGCTGACGTGACATTTTAAGCGTTGCAATTACTTGACTCTTTAACTTGTGCTTATATTAACATTAGTAAAAATAAATACTCATATTTAAAAAGCAAAGAAATTAGTGTGGTAGATGAAAACCCAAGAGCATGTGGCTTCATGGACTTACAGAAGGGGGCTTGTCCACAACAATTCCAGCAAGCAACTGCGACTGTGGTCCAGCTGTTTTCAAGTCATACCGGTTTTGTTCTCGAATCTGAATCAAAACACAGGAACGAGTTCTTGGGGGCGACTATGCAGACAGATGATTTTTACTCTTTTACTCTCTTTTCCCACAGGCTTGCTCTTTGACCACCCAGAGCCTCTTTCTTCCTGCCTCCACAAAGCCCTCTCCTACCATCCCAACAACTCACATTCATCTCCTCCACTCTTCCTAATGTATGATTTCCTATTGTCTTACGTGGTTGGAGAATTACCTTTTCCACTAACACTAGGGCTCACTTTCACTGATATAGCAGCAGTATGTGTACTACCTCTTCCCCACGGAGCCCGCTTGCCAGTGACTAGCACAGAGCTGGAGGTGTTCAATACAGGCTAACATTATACTGAGTTTCAGGGCGTCTGGTGGCTCAGCCGGTTGAGCGTCTGACTCAATTTCAGCACAGGTCATGATCTTGCGGTTTGTGAGACTGAGCCCCACGTTGAGCTCTGTGATGACAGTGTGGCGCCTGCTTGGGATTCTCTATCTCCCCCCTCTTTGCCTCTCCCTCACTTGCACATGCACGTTTTCCCTCTCTCTCTCAAAATAAATGCACTCATAAAAAAAATTATACTGCATTTCAAATTCTTCTGTATTCATACCCCGAGCTTGGTATTAATCAGATTTAATCACATAAAACAGTATAAAAATGACTCCCTTGGCCACAGATGACTACATCTTACCTTATTTCTCTTTTCTAGTACCTCATTCGGGTTTGTGTTTAAAGGAACAAATTGATTTGGATCTTCAATTTTGATAGGTGTTCCACTACTAACTTTAGAAGAGTCCTCTGCTCTCAACCACTAAAAAATAAAAAATTTTCTAGAATGAGGCTTTGTGTTAAGGAAATATGGTAGGTTTTTGGTAACTGTTTATTGTTTATTGACTCAAGGAGAGGGAGCACACACTGCCAATATTTTAAAGAATTTCACTAAGCAGTATTTAGTGGTCAATTACTGTATGTCTCATACTAGTTAGAAAAAGGCTCATGATCAGCACTCAAAAGATGTGATTACTATTTGCATGAATACTCGCCTAGATGGCTATTTAAGTTTTCTTAATCTCTTAATCAGAGTCTGATCTCTTATTAACTCACGTTTAGAGCTGTGGCCTGCACTGAAGTTTTATCAGCTGATGATGGCTAAGTCACCAAAAAGGACTCAAGGAATCTCTTCAGATTTAGTTTTCCAGACTTCATTTTTCTATTTTTGGGTGCCAGGAAAGGCCAATCCCCTGACCAGCATTTTACACAGAGGGTAATCTGGTAGTAATCCATAATAGAACTACAGGGATGGAAAAGCCTTATATAATTTTTCTCCTTTATCCTTTATTATATCCTTTAAAGAAGACGAATATTCATCAAGATCAACAATGGCTGGCCATCAGTCTCCACCAATAAAATCAATTCTGGGAAATTTAGGAGATTAATTCTGTTCTTTTACTAGGAGATAAGAAATCTTATAAGCAGGGAAAAACACTTTGATGTCTAGGCACTTCCACAGTGAATGTTACTGATTTATGTGAGAGGATGAACCGATTTTGAGTATCTACAGAATATTTGGTGATCAGCACTCTAAAACTAAACCAAATCTGAAGCAAAATGTTGAAAAATATAAGACAATCCATTTCTCACTCTTCAAGATTTTGCCTAAGCATAACTGTGCAGTAATTCATGAAACTCTGGAACCATCATGTGTCGATAACCTTTATGGTTCTGATTCACTGGTACAATATAAACTGCAAAGCAGTACCAAGTAGTGGATTAAGAACTGGGCTCCAGAGTCACTGTATGCATTCAAATCTTGCCTTTACTATTCATAAATGATTAGTTAATCCCTCTGTGCCTCAGTTTTCACATCTATGAAATGGGAGAAAAACCACATCCTCTCCATGTTAAGAGTATTAAATGAGATAATTCATTTAAGTCACAGAAAACAAAGTATCTTGTACAAAGTTTATACCTGATAAATGACAGGTTAGTAGTATTATATTCAGCTTTCCCAACATTTTTAACATAGAACATTCAATTCATATAAGTAACTAGGCAAAATATTTAGTAGAGGCAAACCACATAAAATAGCAACATACTGTGATTTTGGTCCTGGGACTGGTTTCCCCATTCCGAGACTCCTCAGGCACATTCACTTTCATGTAAGTATTTGGTGAGTTCAGCCATCTTGTTTTTTCACGCTGCTGTCTCTGTGCCATGTATTTGAGAGGAGAGAGTGGCACTGTGTCATCCTCAAAGGAAAAAGCGGTCACAGTTGCTGGGATTTCCACGTCACTCTTGTGCCTAGGCTTCTCTCGAATGAGAGGATGCCTATAAGCATAGCCTGTTCTATACCCCTAAGGGAGCAAAAAAACCACATTTGAAATGATCAAACATGCACCAAACACAGCATCTGGACTCTTAATTCTTTAAACAAGTGATCAGAAAGACTCCTTTGTTGAAAAACAAAGACGAAAATATCTGTCAAACCTCATGTAACCTCCATTTATAACACTAGGGTTGAAATTAAGCAAATTTCAAGATCTGGTGAAAACAGATTCCAGCTGACAATGTGATTTCCACTCACACAACTGTTCCTGACAAAGGTAATTTCAAAACTGCTGACCAGAAAATTTTCCTAGCTATTTTCCAGCTTTCTGGAAGCAAAATCTCAGTGCTCATTTAAATCTTTGTTCCTCAGTCTTAAGGCAATCTTCTTCTGACCCTTAGTGGAAGAGGGTAAAATCTAAAGTAAGATGACACTTAAATAAATAAATGTAAACCAAAAAAGAAAGAAAGAAAAAAAAAAGGGGCGCCTGGGAGGCTCAGTCGGTTAAGCGTCCGACTTCAGCTCAGGTCATGATCTCACAGCTCGTGAGTTCGAGCCCCGCGTCAGGCTCTGTGCTGACAGCTCGGAGCCCGGAGCCTGCTTCGGATTCTGTGTCTCCCTCTCCCTCTGCCCCTCCCCCACTTGTGCCCTGTCTTGCTCTATCAAAAATAAATAAATGTAAAAAATAAAATAAATAAAGATGACACTTGCATGTTTCACTGTTTGATTCTTAAAAATGTGGTAAAATTACACTGGAATGCCTCCCTAGAGTCAAACTCAGCTCCCAGAGGTATAAGCATGTTCCCAGACCAAAGGGAGATGGAAGCGTTTGCTCTTGAATCTGCAGACATGAAATCCAAGTTTACGTTCAATTTTTCACCTACCAAATTATCCAGAGTCCTCATCAGCCCTTCAAACTCAATCTCGCCAACCTTCCATTTTTGATGGGAGCCCATATTCACTCCTCCTCCTCCATCTGTTGCTATAGCATGAGTGAAAGACTTATACTTCTGAAGATCCAGCACAAGCAGATTGTCTACTCCACCTGCCCCTGCTAATGCCTGCACCTGTAATCGATGGCAAAATATAGAGGCACAAGACTGTAAAAGATTATAATGAATATTTTACCTTTAAAAAGGCAGGATTTCACTTCAGCAAACACCTATTTAACTTGTCCAGGCTCCTAACAACAGGAATAAGGCAATACACTTGTAAAAATGGGCAGCTGAAGTATCTTTTCCATTGATCTGAAAAAGATACCTTCCAGGATTCTGATCTTCCCTGATGGAAAACACATTTAGAGCCATTCCTTTTAACATATTTCAAGAAACTGAATTCTCTTGCCAAATTTTAAAGTTATCTTGCAGTTTTCCCTTGGCTATCCTTTTTTTTTTATAGTTTTATTTTTTTTTTTTTTGCTGAAAGTTATAATTTTAAAGAAATATAGACACTACACTGTGAAGTTAAGGATATTTAGGCAGAAGCAGCTCATTATCTTAATTTCATCAAGCTTTTCACAGCTTCGTTTAAGAAGGGACTGCTAGAGCAACAACAACAAAAAAGTTGGTTGTTAGACATTAAAACTGACAGAAAAGATTTTTCCCCTTTATTGTGGCCCTCTAATAAATTAAGATTATTACCATTTGCTTCAAGAGAATTTTCTTGAAGAGGGAAATTAGGTCTGTTAAAAATACATTCAGCTTCTCTGAGGAAAAGAGTAGTTAATAAATAGCCAACCTATTATAATAAGGTTGAGGCTGTGAAATTGTTGGAAACTGCAGGAGTTCATAAAACTTCTGGCCCTGCTCCTTGCGCTTTTTATAAAAGTGGCTACATCTGATCTTTGATGACGGACGGTTGCCTCTGTTTCTAATTAGTGTGACCACAACCACTACAGGGTAAAAACAGAGACAATTACAATTAAGCAGGATTATGGGGAAAACGATGTTTATGAGGCTCTCAGATTTGTGTGTGCGCGTCTGTATGTGAATTTTAATTTTTTCCTCTTTTCAATTCAAGAGATAACTGAGTTGACCCTTTTTATTCAAGTAAAGCAGATCTCTTAAAAGACAAAACAAGGGGCGCCTGGGTGGCGCAGTCGGTTGAGCGTCCGACTTCAGCCAGGTTACGATCTCGCGGTCCGTGAGTTCGAGCCCCGCGTCGGGCTCTGGGCTGATGGCTCAGAGCCTGGAGCCTGTTTCCGATTCTGTGTCTCCCTCTCTCTCTGCCCCTCCCCCGTTCATGCTCGGTCTCTCTCTGTCCCAAAAATAAATAAACGTTGAAAAAAAAATTTTAAAAGACAAAACAAAAAGCCACCAACCAATAGGACTTTGAAAATAAATAATACAAAACCCAATACAACAAGAAAACAAGTGTGTGGGGGGATAATGTTTCCTACCTGAATCTCACAGGCTCTCTGCACATTAAATATATAATGAAAAGCCTCCTCAATCGTTTCTCCAAGGGCTACCACACCATGATTTCTGAGTACCAGCACCTAAAATAGAATCACAAAGCAATCACTTTAAAATAACTGGCATAGCTCACACTGTTTTTCATCAACAGCAACGGCAACAAAAATAGCTCCTTCGATAGGAACTCTACTGCATACCTTACAACTTGGCCCCAGAACTTTCTGTAGTTGAATTCTCTCCTCCTGTTCATCAAGTGACCCTTGGTAGTCATAATAGGCGACATCTCCCAGGAAGAGGGACTCTTGAGAAATTGGAAGGATCCCACACTTCATGGAGGATACCTATTTGATTGGGCCCATGTTAAAATAACATATTTAGTTACTAGTTACACTCTCCTAAGAACTGGATTCTTTAGTCAGCTCAGGAAGCACTGGCCTAATTCACCGAGTCCACCATTCCAACCCCTCTCTCACTTTAGCTCTTCACTTCTTCCAGAAAGAAAAAAGAAGGAAAAAAAAAAAAAAAAAAGGACTTAGGGGATAGAACTCAATTTAAACGTTGTGCCAAATATTATGAAAGAAACTTTACTCCAAAGAGCTCAGCACCCAATTATTAGCTGATTAGTGAAAAATGCAAATGCTATCTCTCTAGTTGTTTCCTACAATGTCAGCATTTGGTCCAAAGGAAATTTTGCTTTCTGGGTATGCAGAGGATTAATATTTTCAGTATACTACACTTCCCAGAGTCATTGCTGGTTTTAGCCTTCAGCAACTTACAGCTGCTGTTGCCAGGGTATGGGTGTGTATCACACACTTAACATCAGGACGTGTTGAATAGATCGCAGCATGGGGACTGAAGCCTGTGTGGTCAATTTTCAAGTTAGTACTTCCCTGATCAACCACTTCTCCTATGATATTGACTTTCACCTGGAAAAAATCAGAGAGACATATTTAATTGGTACACATATATCAAAGTTTGCCTGTGGTCCACAAACCAAACCAGGGGAGGGGGCCAACTTTTTTTTGTCAAAGGCCAAATAGTCAAAATTTTAGACTTTGTGGGCCTCTGATGCAACTACTCAACTCTGCCACTTTATGTAGAACCACTCAGAACTGTAGAAGAATGCGTGTGGCTTTGTTCCCATAAAACTTTATTTATAAAAACAGGCAGTCTGAAACAAAATTTCGAATTTAGTAAGAAGCAGTTTCCAAAAAACCAAGTAACTTAAACTCTTCACTAAAGGTCTTAACAAGTCCAGTGTTTACTGAATTGGCTGGAAAATTTCCATTTGCTGACACTGTAGCACCCAGAACCAATGGAGTTCCTGTCATCCCAGAGGCCAATGACAGTGCCTATGAGTACTATCATGGAAAAATAAAATGCCACACAGTCAGCCAGCCCCTCTGCTCACACCAACTGAACTTTATTGAAATCTATTTATAAAATACACATAGACTTTGTGTTTTTTAAAAGTTCCAGAGTGTATAGGGTGGAAAAAAAGTCAAAGGATTCCCTCCAAAACATGGATAGTTCACTGATAAGACCAACTTATTTATGAGTCTCTTCAACCACCTTGTTTTTCTTGACCCTGAAAGCTTTTCTTAAAAATCAACATAAGTTGGGGTGCCTGGGTGGCTGGCTCAGTTAAGCGTCCGACTTCAGCTCAAGTCATGATCTCACGGTTCATAAATTCGAGCCCCACTTTGGGCTCTGTGCTGACAGCTCAGAGCCTGGAGCCTGCTTCGGATTCTGTGTCTCCCTTCCTCTCTGCTGCTCCCCCGCTCGGGCTCTGTCTCTCTTTCAAAAACAAATAAAGGCTAAAAAAATTATTTTTTTTAAAAATCAACATAACTTTCCAAACTCTTTCCTGTTCACTAAGCAAATGTTTTTTCCATCCATACCTTTTCTTGTTCTGTCCTGTACTAAAAGCTGAAAACTGTTAGAAAAGCACAAAGAAGCACAGAAAAAGTAACATAGGAATGAAAATCATACCAAATTGGAGGCTGTGGCTTCAGAAAAAGACAGGCCTCTAGGAATTATTATTATGTGGTCTTGCTCCTTACTTATTCTTACCTGGGAGAAAGGAAAACAAACAAACAAACAATAGGCAATTACTATGAGGTCGTTCATATTTTGCAGTGCAAACACGACTAGAAATATATTTGTAGTGAATAACTATAAGAGATCTGGGAGGGTGGGGAAAGCAACAAAGTAGAAATTAAAGGTATGCAATGGGAAACTTTCCTTGAAAAGTTTTCTTCCCTCAATACTCAAGCACTTGCTAAAAATTTCTGCCATTAGTTTCTCATTTACTGGACTTCCCTGAAGCTTTATCCCGGGAGCTCCAAGGTTGCTTAGGGTCAGCTACATTCATGAGAAAATATTAAGTGAATGTGGTAATGACTATAATCTTGATTTACAACATGGAAATGAAGGGGAAAGGGGCAAAGGAAAGAGAAGTCTTCCTGGGAGGGCAGGAAGGAAGTGGAGACGGAAGGGGAAACACAGGAGAGGCTGCAGGGGGTGGGGAAGAACTCTGGGAAGACAGCACCTAGCACTGGCACCACTTCCATTACAGTCTTTTCATACTTTTTTCTTCCAAATGTTGTCTGGTTTCCAAGTGTGACAACATGAAAACACAGATGATAATGAACGGAAAAAATACACTTAAAGAGAATAAAGACCAGAGAGGAAACGTCCCAGGCCTCCTCTACTTTGCCTGCCCCAAGTGCTTTTCAGTGACCCTCATGCTCAGACAGAATTAACACAGAGAAAACTGTGCCAGAAGGATTTCTTTTCAGATGGTTTTTGCAACTGGTTTGAACGAAAAGGACAACACAGACGGTAAATGAAAGAGAAAGTGAGATTAACCACAGCCTCTCTTTTGGAGAGGTTTAAATCAGGATTAGGTTGTAACCCAGCATGCTAGGTTCAGAAAATGAAGACTGATCAGACTTAGGAGTCAAGGGGAGAAGCATACAGTTGCCTTCTAGTTGGGATTTTTTCAAAAAGGAATTGAAAGCCAAAGAACTCACGGAGATATAGGTATTTGCCAGGTGTGCCCATCCAAACAAGTCCACGAGTCTATACAGGCTGGCAAGCTTACAGCGAGTAAGTTTCTCTCCCTTCACGTAGGAGGATGTATCTGCCCCAGGGAGGTCATTGATAGGTGTGACCATGCCGAGACCTAAAAGGAGGAGGTGTGGATAGAGACTGCGGTCAAGTCAAGTACTGCTGCACCTGGAAGCAGCCGGAGTCTGGGAGTGTCCCAGCCTTGTAAACTCGGATGTGAAACTTATCAGCCCGCACAATGTTTCATTAGCTTATCTTCCTTTGGAGAAAGGCGCATCAGCAATCTTCTCTGCTGTTTCGTCTAGTACTGTACTTGTGGGGGAGGGACTTGGTAGGGAGTCAGGTTCACACCACTGGAGGAAAATGGTCACGTGATTCCAAAGGTGAAAGTGTTCTTAATCCTGAGGTTACTGCTAACTTTATGATGAAAAGATCCCAACGGAAAGCTACTTTTCTAATAGCCCTTTTGACTTTTAGTCAAACAAAAATTATTTAAAATGGAAAAGAATGCATTCAAACCACACTGTGCCTTCTGCCATGACTAAGCAACAAAACCTAGTTTTGCTTGGGTTTTAATGACCCAATTGCTAACTTCAGATGTGATCAAGTTCCACTTTTTCTTAGTCTTTGTTCTCCTTGACACCATTTACCACGTCTTCCCTAGAATTCTTCTACAGGCCTGTGTGGTATCATCTGGATCTCTTGTTCCCCTTTCACCTGCTGCTTCTTTCTCCTTCGACAAGTTCTCTTCCCTTTCTCCCGTCTGTGGCTCCTTCCTGAAGCTCAACCGTCCCCTACACTCCTCTCTCATGTTCCTTCTCCCCATGAAAACGCTACAGACTCAGACACCCTGGTCTTTACCTGTGAGCAGGCCCTCCTGCCCACCCTTCAGCCTGCTGCTTCTAACTGCTTGACACAGTAAGAGACAAGTTAAAAGAGTAGAAAAGTGATTTTTATCTCCCTGCTTTTTCCTACCTTCTCACTTCTCCTCAGTCTTCTGATACTGATGGTACTACAATTCCCACAGGATCGACGTAACCTGTCCTGGGCGACCAAACGTATTTCATCACCACGTTCCACCACTTTCTTCTTTATGAGTTCCCTCATTCTCCATCCTTGAGTTCAGGCCTCATCTCACATGTAAGCCTTCTCATTCCTGTCCTCGCCTTTGGCCCCTCTCTTTATAAATCCATTCCACATAAAGTCATCAGACTGAGTTTGTAAAGGAACACGGTTAGCCTCACTACTCCCCTGCTCAAAGTTTTGCAGAAGCCCCAGACCTGAAGGCCTACAAGATATTCATGTAAGTGCATAAACCAGGCCTGGTGCAGCCCGTAGGCTGCTAGAGATAACACAGGCCTGGGATAAAGGGGCAGCTATAACTCCACAATCAGCTGCTACCGTGTGAGAATCTGAGTTCAGGGTTATCAGAAAGTTTCAACTTTAAACTTGGGCCCCAAGTCAATACTGTAATGTGAGATCTTCTACTTGTGAAATGTTGTGAACTAATTCAAAGAAATAGTTTCAATATGTAAGCCATTATGAAACAACATAATTTCTAACAAAATTTCAGAGTCAGCCATTTAATCGATCTCCCGCTTTCCCCGCCAACTTTAACTTCCACTTTCGACAACATAAATTTTCCAGCCAAACTGGCTGATTTGTACTCCCTGACCTCTGAGCTGTGAGACACAGCTTTCCCGCTGCCATGCCTTTGTACATTGCAGCCAGCAACCTCAGCGGCTCCCCCTTCCTGCTGGGGTATCTAGGACACACACAGGATAGCTCCTCTTATTATTTTGGTCTTCCTGGACCAGTCTTCCTCTTCTAACTTTCAAAATTTTCTCTTTAGAACCTTTTCTTCTCTGCCTATACCCTCTTGTATGATTTAATCTACACACATGGCCCTGATGAATACTTCCCCATGTCCATCTGCCAAGTCACTCTCTTAGGCTCTAGGAGTGTTTTTCCAACTGCTACAAGGTCTTGGCAACTCTGGGCAACCCTGGCATGCCTGAAGTTGAACTTCTTCCACTTCCCAAGCCAAAGAGATCCCCAACTCTGGACATTCCTATTTCTGTCTACTAATAATACCATGAAATTCTCAGTTAATTCTTCACACAGAAACTATACAGGTCTTTCTACATCACCCTTCTGCTTAAATGGCTTTTCAAAATTAGAATAGAATCCAAACTTCCAACCCTGGCTGCAAAGCCCTACATAATTCAGCCTCTCTGCCTGTTTCTGATCTCACTTTGTTCTACTGGTTTCCCCCAAAACCATGTTCCAGACCATAACCTTTAATTTTTGTTCCTTGAAGAGACCACCAAATTCATTGTCCTCTTATTTCCATCTGACACTTGTACTTGTCCCTTCTACTTGGACTGTTTTCTCTCAATCTTGGTATGGTTTGCTCCTCCTTGTCATTCAGATTTCAGTTTCAATGTCCCCTCCTCAGAGAGATTCTCTCTGATCACCTAATCTAGTCACCTAGCTCCTCCTATCAAATCACCATCTATTAATTATCTGCATAGCACTTATTAACTGACCATTTTCCGTCTCCACAAGGACAGGAATCTTGTCTCTGGTTTATCAGTGTATCTCCTATCTCTAACAGGGTGCTTAGAACATAATAGATACTCAATATTATAGAAAAAGCAAAACAAACAAACAAACAAGCTCAACCTTTGAATTTTTATGTTTCTTCTAATAGAATGTTTCTGCCAAGATAGAGGAGTGATTTTGTAACTCATAGTTCTTCTCCCCCACTATCTACACCATCTCCTCACATCAAACTGTTACTAAGTCATCTCTATTCTTCCTTAGTTATGCCTTTCTCATATCTCTTCCTTTTTGTACTCACACTACTATTTTAGTTCAAGCATGTATACCTCACATTGGGACCCTTTCAAAGATTCTTTAACCGGTATATATGTGCCGACACACTGGTCCACTTTGAGTTCTACAAACATACCTTAACCCAGCATGTTTTCAACATCAGGTCTCAATTGTTATGCCATTCCTCTATTTGGAAAGTACTTGCATTTACTGACTCTTACTTATAAATCTATAACCAAACCAAACCAAACCAAAACCAAAACCAAAACCAAAGAAAGGCAGAAATGAAGGGAGAAGGAAAACAAAAGAAAAGAAAAAAGAGGAAAAGAAAATCCCTTGATGCCGATATGACGTCTCATCCCTTGACTCGGACCCGAAGCAGTCCCTGACATTACCTTCTGGCACTCTGCACCTGTCCTGGTATTGCGGGGAGTTCCGGACATATCTTGCTGACGTGTATAAAGCGCTTAGTGTTCAGCTCACCAAACTGGTGCTCTTACTAAAGAGTTGTTAAATGTAAAAATATCTTAACCCCTCTTTTACACCAAATTCTAACCACTCCATCTTGTAAAGCCTGGTTAGCTCAGGCCTCTCTTTTTTCAGAGTTTTCTCAGTCCACTTCAACCAATAATCAATCTCAACTCTCAGTTCATAGTATGATGACTTATAAAAGGCCATTAGACAATTTCTTACGAACTGCTTTGTAATGTTTTACAGTTATCTTTCAGTTTTAATTTTTTTTTTGCATTCATGGTAGGTCTCCTCAACTAAAATTACGCATTTATGTAGGACAGGGCCCATGTCTTGTAACTATTTTACAATCTCACAAAGTCTAGTAAATGCCCGGTTGATAACAAAAGGTAAGAGAGTTTAACACTATATTACTCTAAGTATTAGATGTTATAAACTTAAGGACTGAACCAGAGGAGAATATGCTGCTAGAGATGTGCCGTGTTCAAAGTAGAGATAAAATTATAATTTCTTAAACTTTTCAAAACTGACGTACTGAGAGGAGGTGAAGTAAAGCCCGAGAAAGAATTGGTCGTGATGTAATCTGCGATCTGCTGTAATGCCAGCAATCCAGTTGGGTTGTGGCCTTTCTTCATCTGTTCTTGGATAAGGCATTCCAGATCTTCCCGAAAGGCCTGTAACACACAAAAATGACCACTGAGCTCATACATCTCACTTGGAGCAGAACAAACCAAACATAACTTTCTCTATAATTAATCTTTTTCCCATCCCTCCTTTGAATACGGTTTCATCTACACAATTTTGAAACAAATATAAAACATAAAATAATGAAACAGTGGAAGAAGGAGGCAAGAAGCTTGCCTTCAGGGGAGGAAAAAAAATCGTTAGAAAGTCTTACTCTCAAAGAAAACGAGCTATCATCTACAATAGACAGATATAAAGCAACTCTGTTAACAATATGGAACTAGAGGACCAAGTACAGACTGATGCAAAAAGAGAGCCATTCCTCGCCCAGTGGCCTCATTACCTAGGTTGGGCTAGAGTCCCTATTTGGATGGGGCAAGACTCTGACTACAGACTGACTCACAGAAATCTTCACTAAGACATACTACGTACATCACGGCTTCCATTTTAAGAATTCCGTGGCAATTCCCTTAACTCTATGAAGACTGAAAGCAAACTGTAAGAGCTGAGAACTGTTCACTCCCCTTCTGCAACACTGTGCTAAAGAAAGGACATTTTCCCCCAACTTTGGGTACTATATGTTCCTGTTCTGGAATTCCGCTATATTTCTTGGGGGCATATGTGTATGTGTCAGAAACAGTGTTCATATCAGTAAAAATTCTGAACGTTAAGAGAAATTTTCTATTCGAATAACCCTTAAGTTGCTAATATGATTCATCATTTGAAACCTCTCTCAATCCTTTACATTACTTGAAATAGCTCATTTTTTATTTCCATAACACCTAACCAATACTTATTTTATTAAATTCATTTGTTTTCTTGCTCAAACCTTTTCCCATTCATTTTAAATACAAAAGCTCTTGCAATGTAAGTCCTCTAAACCTTGCTTTTGGTTACATATGAAACAGAATCCCTGCCAGAAATTAAGTTCAATTTTTAACCACTTCACCTAAGAGGGAGAAGGCAGAAAACTGCTCCGGAATCACAACCTCCAAGAGGAGTCCATACAAACACCTTGGAGATCACTGGAGAAATCTTTTTCAGAAGGCTGAATTTCCTTTCAGTCACCAACAGTAGCCTTCCTTATAAGGCTGAGAATAAGATCTCCTGGAGTCCCTGCTTAGATGTAGACTTGCATCGTGGATGACCGAATGATTCAGATTTTCAGAAAGGACTTCTTAAAAAAAAAAAAAAAAAAGGCATAGGAGCCCATGATGGAAGGAGAAATGTGGTTTGAGGCTATGAGGTAGTAAATATTAGGACCAGTCCCGACTCAATGCTTGTGTTGCTTTTAGAGAAACAGTTGAGAGGCATCCATGATCTGAATTGAAAGAGCTGAGTGCGAAAAACTATAATCTTGGGAGTTCAATCATGGGGCACCATGGAACACCCTAAGTGAGCTTAGCACAGGAAGAGGGGGAGGGAGGTCACCTTTCCCTGATGCCCCAGAGTGGCCTGTGCAGACATCTGTGTCAACAGTGAACCTGCATCTCCTGTTGGACAGGGTAAGACTCGTTTTCAACACCACTACCATGTGGGCAGGAAGGCACAGTGGCCGAGGTGGACTGAAGAGACTTTAGCATGACTCACATGTGCACATGAAGACATACGTACACGCCACATCTTGGATATAGAAGTCACTGGTGAACCCTTTTGCACTGTGTAAGCCACTGAGGTTCTTGGGACAACTTAGAGGAGAACAGAAATTCCAAGAGGAAGATACTGTACTTTCTGCTAATACAGCAGGTGAATGTTTAAGAGCCTAATTTAAAAACTAGTAGTGACCATATTTGAATTCTGCGTTCATGGAGCAGTTTATACCAGTTAAACATGGCTTTTCTTTTACAAATTTGAGGGCTGTTAAATGTAAATCGTTAGCACAATTATAAAAATTCTAAACATCTGGGGTGCCTGGGTGGCTCAGTTGGTTTGAGTGCCCAACTTCGGCCCAGGTCATGATCTCAGGGTTGAGTTCGAGTCCCACGTTGGACTTGCCGCTGTCAGTGCAGAGCTCACTTCAGATCATCTGTCCCCCTCTCTGCCCTTCCCCTGCTTGCGCACTCTCAAAAAATAAACAAACATTAAAAAAATTCTAAACATCTAAATCCAATGACTGTACCTCGCTCATTTAAAAATATGACTTAAAAATAAATAAATAAATAAATAAAAATATGACTTAAACCAGAGACACTATCCTATAAAATATCCTCTACAAAGACACATTACATTGATCAGAAAACTCCATTAATACATTTCTACGACTTAGTGAACATAAAATGGTTGTGAGCTATATATAAGATGGATGGACACTTTCATACAGATGAGTAACATGAGTATTTTACCATATTTAAGGCTGGATGAGAAAGAATCTTTCAGATACACTCATTTATCTTTTATAAACTATAGAAAACTTCTGGGCACCTGGCAAAGGGCCAATCTGCTCTTTTGAAACTTTATCTCTCCTTCAAAACCAAATTCTATTTAAACTTTCTTCAGCTGAAAGCAGCTATAACCAATATTCATTCAGTAAAAAAGCCAAAAAACAAACAAAAAACCTGATGATACCTACTTGTGTATCACTCATTATTTACATTGTAATAACTTACTGAGAAATGGGAATATTTTATTGAATGCCCCTCCTCATGTGGCTCCAGCAAGAATTTAAGGCAGATTCTAGAGATCAAAATTATTAAAAAAATAAATACAGGTTAGATAAATTAAGCTAAAGAGAAGAAATTAGTATAAGGAGGTTAGTTAGAGCCAGCAATGAGATTAAGATACAAAGTGCATGTAATAAAACTGTAGGCATTTGCTACAGTTGGCATAAGCCAACATGAATTAATTAAGATAATCTGCTCAGTATGATTTATAATGGCTTTAAGATTAAAAACCAACCAGTTGCTCAAGAGAATCACAACTATTTATGAGCTGATGAGACGTTTCTGCTGAGTGGGATGAAAAAGCTAAATAAGAAAGGTTGAAAAATTTGTCCAAGGCAGTAAATGTTAAAGGCAAGAACTCAGGTCAAATGCTATTTTCACTAGTGAAAATGCTTTTACCACTTCCATACATCCCACAATACAGTGGGCACAATCCTAAAGCTTTGGGATGATCCATGGTATCATAAGGGGATGTGTAAGCCCTTCTAAAATCAATTCAGAGAAAAATATGAATTTAGTTTCCACAAAGTGCAGGAAAATAATTTTCAAAGTAAGTGAAATTGCCCTAACGTTTTTATATAGTTGAAAGTGCTTCAGCGGATAAGAAATCTTCTATTACAAAAGATTTAATGTTTTTGGTCATGAACATTTATAACTCATTTTTAATGTTTCAAATATATTGGAGTATTATTCAGATAATTACCTCAGTCGTAAGACAGTATAAAAATTAATGATAAAATTTCAGCTGGTTTTAAAAATTTATCTATAAACATGTTGAGCTTTAAAATACTGTATTCAAAGAATAAAAATTTTATTTATCTTTATGATGACAGTTAACCATATTCTGAAATCCAATGTTAATAAAATAACCCTTTATAGTTATTCATTTGAATCTCACAACAAAGTCCTGAGATAGGCAGTGATTTGCTCAAGGCTGCACAGCTAACAAGTAAATGGAGTAAAGGTTGAAATCTGTAACTCTCAGCTGGGCACAGGATCTTTCTGTAGTTTTATGGGAGATGGGTTGTATCACTGAAACCAAATACAACTAATAAGGCAGCAGGCATGTTGTGATCAGAAATACAGAGTAAACCTCTTAGGCTAGATTAGGGCATTAGGTTGTACTGAAATAGCAAAAAAATTACATAGCAGCAGATTATGATGGTCCTCAAGTACCAATATACTTGCCCTCTTACAGCTGGAAATTTTTCCATCAAAGCAGAATGAAAAACTAACTTATACACAGGGCAGCAAGGTCACATGCTTGGCTTCTGAAGTCAGATTAAACCAACAATTCCCTAGAGCGTCCACTGAAGAAGAGTCAGGGTAAAAGACAAACAACACATACACAAACCACAGCATAAACCATGTCTTCCATCTTAGAGACAGAAGAGCAGAGAAGAGGAAGTAGCGGGAGTTGTTGCACCTTGAACGCATGAATCCATGAACATAATAAACCTGACTGCCATCAGGAGGACAGATTCTCTGAGACCTTTAAAACCCAAAATACGGTCTAAGGAATTATAATTATATAATCTTCAAAGTGTTGCCATAAAGTGCTTTAAATCAGCAATACTGTATATAAGTCATGTATACAATTTTCACAAAAATACTTGCCTACTATGGGCTAGGCTCTGCAAAACTTGCTTTTATGTTATTTCATTTAATTGTCACAACAACTCCATGAGGTCCATTTTACCAACAAGGAAACTGAAGCTCAAGTTAAGTGAGTTTCCTAGGCCACGCAGCTAATAGGCGGTGGTGAACCCAGATCCAAAGCAAGCACTGTGTGCATATATATGTACATATCAAAACATTTGTTATAAACAGATTAGAACTGGAAATGATGAGAAAATAGGCTGACTCCTTATAGGTCAAGCAGTCTGGTACTCCAGGATCTCTATAATTCATCATGCAACTTTTTGGGTCTACCTACTGTTACTGCCTTGTGCTCTGATTTAGCCTATGAGGTTTGCGCATCACTCTATGATCACACCGTACTTTTCTATCCCTGTGCACTCTATTTCATCAAAGGGAAATGCTGGCTTCTGCTGTTCCTCTACCTAATCAGTGCTTACCCTTTATCTAACACTTGTCTTAAATGTGATCTTCCTGAAGTCTCTCCTTTAATCACCCCAATTAGGTGGGATCTCCACTTTCTTCTCTTCCCACCCAACTCTAATTCTTTTAACATTTGCCTTTACTACTCTTAGGATACCTATCATAGGACTGTGGTTTACTTTTCCCACTCTACCACACTATGATATCTGATGGTTGAAGCTGTTGTCTTTCACATTCCTGGAGTCTCCCTGAGTGTCTAGTTCAGTGCT